ACAGAGAAAGCAAGGGAGGGAGGGAGGGAGGGAGGGAGGGAGGGAGGGAGGGAGGGAGGGAGGGAAGGAAGAAAGAAAGAAAGAAAGCCCTGTCCCGTCTCAGGCAGCATCGGCAGCCACACCCTCTGGGGCGAGGCGCAGGCTATTACCATGGACAGCTTCCCCCTTTGGGCAGTACTGGGGTCTGCACTCAGGGCCATGCTTGTCAGGCAGCATCGGCAGCCACACCCTCTGGGGCGAGGCGCAGGCTATTGTTACCATGGACAGCTTTCCCCTTTGGGCAGTACTGGGGTCTGCACTCAGGGCCATGCTTGGTAGGCAGGCCCACTAGCACTTGGGCCACAGTCACAGCTCTTCCTTGCTTTAGTTGTTTTTCAGGTACGGTCTACCCCTTTTTTGCCGACCAGACCATGACTCCTATCCTCCTGTTGCCACACCCGGTACAGGAGAGACTTTGCGCACGTTGCTTCTCACAAGCTGGTTTGGCCTAGAGCTCTACAGGGACGGGAAGCAGCTGCTGGAGAGTAGACCCGCGCGGCCTGGACGCCAGCTGGTCTTTGCTGCCCTCATGTGGCTAGCTTCATAATCACCCTTCACCAAACAGGTGAGGTCTACAGAAAAGCCATGAACATCAACCAGATTTTAAGATGGAATCTGATCGTTAAAACGTTCATCAGTGTCAGTCTTGAACACCCTAGAAAACCTACAAATAAGAACCTTAAACACCTCAGGCCGACTACTGAAGGACTGACCCCAGGACCTCCCTTCGTCCATGGGTGGCCGAGTGGTAGGTTCTGCCAGGAAACGGCATCAAGTTCAGCCCCTGCTTTAGCCCAGGCTGGCTAAGCTGCACTGACACCTGGGCTCTGTGGCCAGCCTCTGGCTCATGAATGAACAGTCCTCCGACACTCACTCTCCTTGGGTCTCCCCTTCCCAGGAACCTCTGGCAGTCTGCCCACAGCCACACGTCAGCTTCAGTGACCCACAGGCAGAGGGAAGGACAGAACCACCCAGTGGACAGGAACCCACAAGCATGGCCTCGGCACCAGCGCCTGTGCATGCTTCAAACAGGCCTGCGTCAACCCCGCAACGCCGCCTGTGCATCTGACACAGGCCTGCATCAACCCCACAATGCCATCTGTGCATCTGACACAGACCCACATCAACCCCGCAACGCCGCCTGTGCATCTGACACAGGCCTGCGTCAACCCCACAACGCCCCTGTGCATCTGACACAGGCCTGTGTCAACCCCGCAACGCCGCCTGTGCATCTGACACAGGCCTGCGTCAAGCCCACAACGCCACCTGTGCATCTGACACAGGCCTGCGTCAACCCCACAACGCCAGTGCATCTGACACAGGCCTGCGTCAACCCCACAATGCCCCTGTGCATCTGACACAGGCCTGCGTCAACCCCACAATGCCCCTGTGCATCTGACACAGGCCTGTGTCAACCCCACAATGCCCCTGTGCATCTGACACAGGCCTGTGTCAACCCCACGCCGCCTGTGCATCTGACACAGGCCTGCGTCAACCCCACGCCACCTGTGCATCTGACACAGGCCTGCGTCAACCCCACGCCGCCTGTGCATCTGACACAGGCCTGCGTCAACCCCACGCCGCCTGTGCATCTGACACAGGCCTGCATCAACCCCACAATGCCCCTGTGCATCTGATACAGGCCTGTGTCAACCCCACAATGCCCCTGTGCATCTGACACAGGCCTGTGTCAACCCCACAACGCCCCTGTGCATCTGACACAGGCCTGCGTCAACCCCACAATGCCCCTGTGCATCTGACACAGGCCTGCGTCAACACCACAATGCCATCTGTGCATCTGACACAGGCCTGCGTCAACCCCACAATGCCCCTGTGCACCTGACACAGGCCTGTGTCAACCCCACAATGCCCCTGTGCATCTGACACAAGCCTGTGTCAACCCCACGCCGCCTGTGCATCTGACACAGGCCTGCGTCAACCCCACGCCGCCTGTGCATCTGACACAGGCCTGCGTCAACCCCACAATGCCCCTGTGCATCTGACACAGGACTGCGTCAACCCCACAATGCCCCTGTGCATCTGACGCAGGCCTGTGTCAACCCCACAACACCCCTGTACATCTGACACAGGCCTGTGTCAACCCCACAACGCCGCCTGTGCATCTGACACAGGCCTGCGTCAACCCCACAATGCCCCTGTGCATCTGACACAGGCCTGCGTCAACCCCACAACGCCGCCTGTGCATCTGACACAGGCCTGCGTCAACCCCGCAACGCCGCCTGTGCATCTGACACAGGCCTGTGTCAACCCCACAACGCCGCCTGTGCATCTGACACAGGCCTGCGTCAACCCCACAATGCCCCTGTGCATCTGACACAAGACTGCGTCAACCCCGCAACGCCGCCTGTGTATCTGACACAGGCCTATGTCAACCCCACAATGCCCCCGTGCATCTGACACAGGCCTGTGTCAACCCCACAACACCCCTGTGCATCTGACACAGGCCTGCGTCAACCCCACAATGCCGTCTGTGCATCTCTGACACAGGCCTGCGTCAACCCCACAACGCCGCCTGTGCATCTCTGACAAAGGCCTGCGTCAACCCCACAACGCCGCCTGTGCATCTGACGCAGGCCTGCGTCAACCCCACAATGCCCCTGTGCATCTGACACAGGCCTGTGTCAACCCCACAACACCCCTGTGCATCTGACACAGGCCTGCGTCAACCCCACAATGCCGTCTGTGCATCTCTGACACAGGCCTGCGTCAACCCCACAACGCCGCCTGTGCATCTCTGACAAAGGCCTGCGTCAACCCCACAACGCCGCCTGTGCATCTGACGCAGGCCTGCGTCAACCCCACAACGCCGTCTGTGCATCTGACACACAGATGGCCTCTCCTGATTGGAAGGACACTGTCTGAACTATTCTAGTTCAGATACTCTCATGATAAACACATGGGTTTTGCTGATGTAAATTAACATGCTGTAAATGAAGCAAAGCGCAAAGCTTGTCGGGTGGCTGGAAGGTAGACAGAGACCGAAGTGGGAGTCACAGCATGAAGATCCACTGTCACGCAGTGCAGGCCAGTTCCCCATCGGATGAGAGGCAGATTGCAAACGCCTCTCAAGTGCCGGATGCCGCAGCTCTGGCGGGAGTGGAGGGGTGACCTGATGTGCTGCCCGCACTCTGACAGGACCATCAGCGGGGCCTGGGGACCATCAGCGGGGCCTGGGGACCATCAGCGGGGCCTGGAGACCATCAACGGGGCCTGGGGACCATCAACGGGGCCTGGGGACCATCAGCAGGAGCCTGGGGATCATCAATGGGGCCTGAGGACCATCAATGGGGCCTGGGGACCATCAATGGGGCCTGGGGACCATCAATGGGGCCTGAGGACCATCAGCGGGGCCTGGGGACCATCAATGGGGCCTAGGGACCATCAGCGGGGGCCTGGGGACCATCAATGGGGCCTGGGGACCATCAATTGGGCCTGGGGACCATCAATGGGGCCTGGGGACCATCAATGGGGCCTGGGGACCATCAATGGGGCCTGGGGACCATCAGCGGGGCCTGGGGACCATCAACGGGGCCTGGGGACCATCAGCGGGGCCTGAGGACCATCAATGGGGCCTGGGGACCATCAATGGGGCCTGGGGACCATCAATGGGGCCTGGGGACCATCAATGGGGCCTGGGGACCATCAATGGGGCCTGGGGACCATCAATGGGGCCTGGGGACCATCAGCGGGGCCTGGGGACCATCAATGGGGCCTGGGGACCATCAGCGGGGCCTGAGGACCATCAGCAGGGCCTGGGGACCATCAGCAGGCGCCTGGGGACCATCAATGGGGCCTGGGGACCATCAATGGGGCCTGGGGACCATCAATGGGGTCTGGGGACCATCAATGGGGCCTGGGGACCATCAGCAGGGCCTGGGGACCATCAGCGGGGCCTGGGGACCATCAATGGGGCCTGGGGACCATCAATGGGGCCTGGGACCATCAATGGGGCCTGGGGACCATCAGCGGGGGCCTGGGGACCATCAATGGGGCCTGGGGACCATCAGCGGGGCCTGGGGACCATCAATGGGGCCTGGGGACCATCAGCGGGGCCTGGGGACCATCAATGGGGCCTGGGGACAATCAATGGGGCCTGGGGATCATCAATGGGGCCTGGGGACCATCAATGGGGCCTGGGACCATCAATGGGGCCTGGGGACCATCAATGGGGCCTGGGGACCGTCAGCAGGGCCTGGGGACCATCAGCAGGGCCTGGGGACCATCAATGGGGCCTGGGACCATCAATGGGGCCTGGGGACCATCAGCGGGGGCCTGGGGACCATCAGTCGGGCTAGTCGGGCTTTTCCCCGAACTTACCCGAGCCTCTTGTAGAGGTTTCAATGTGGGTAACCTTCCACCATCCACAGCTGGATTTGAGCCCTGGCCACTGTGTCAAGAGACTGGTGTATACAAGCGGGGTGAAGAGACTCAACGAAAGCTGGGAGGGCAAGGGAACCAAACAGGGGGTGGAGACAAGGAGGAGGAGAGAGGTTGAAGACTGTCAAATAGGTAAGGCACAAGAGTGAACAGAGCAATGGAACAGGCTGAGATTGTTACGGGAAAGACAGAGAAGAAGGGGGCGTGGTGAAGGAGGTGGGCTGGCTGGAATGCAACCCACATGTGTAACTAATAGAAGCTAAATTTTAAAAACAGAGATTGAGCTGTGGGGTGGAGCCCGTTGAGAATGAGTCTGTGCTATTTTAAACGAGGCAGAAGAGAGTACACGAGCACTCTCCCCATCCCGCCACACAGCTGCTGTGGCTGTAACCCACAGCCACATCAGGGCACGGCTCCACCCCCAGCAGCCACCCCACAACACCAGGCGGCAGACAGCCCCCTCACCAACAGAGACCCTGGACAGACAGCCTCGCACACCATGACAAATGGTCCACTGCTCTTATAACCTGGACTAAGGCATGTCCTGAGAAACGACGCTGGTGCGAGTTTTATTTACCTGTATTATTTCTACACAAAGACAATTTTAGTACTAAGAGATCATGCAAACTGTGGTCAACTAAACAACAGTCAAGCAACAGTAAGGTTATGCCCAAGAAAACACAGTTAGCAGAGCTCACTGCAATGGAGCAATTCCTTTTAATCTAGTCATGTGTGTACCATTTTATACATGACTAAGAAAATAGCCCATTTTTCCATGGACTGTTTAAAATCTAGTGATAAATGTGACAGTATTTTAGATCTGGTTCAAAAATAACTCCTAGAAGAAAAGCATCTGGACATGACTTAATACTTCCTTTGAAGTTCAGCATACGCTAAAGGGTTCATTTGTTTCCAAAAATAGTGATTTATTTACTGGGACTACCGCAGAAACACTGCTGTAAAGCAAACGTATGTACAGAATATACACACAGACCTAGCGGTCCTTGCAGTCTTCAGGCGTGCGGTGGCCCGCGTGGGCCCCTCCGGGGGTGCTCGCTGCTCCACAGGCCTTCCTGCAGGAGCAGGTGCAGCTGGCTCTGCTCGTCGGCCTTCGGGACTGTCCACTGCCTCTTCAGGTACTGGATGTCCACAGCGCCAGAGGCCCTGGCCAGAGCCAGGGCCAGGAAGCTGCCACCAGCTTTGTCTGACTCACCCGTGACCGTCATGGCCAACAGCCTACAGGCAAGAGGGGCAGGGGGAGGGTCAGCAGAGCGGTCTCAGCCTCGTGTGCGCATGCTCGGGGTGGCCCCGGCCAGGCCAGCGGAGGGGCGCGCTCACGCTGGGCATCTGGGCAGGGGACACAGGGGGGGGCTCTGTACCTTCCCATCTCTGTTTTGCTGCGAAACTAAAACCAGTAGGTTTTTCTGTAAGTATTTCAAAGTAAGCAAGATCCAACTTAAACTTAAGTCACATAACTCTACATAACCTAGCAAGCAGGAAGGCGAGGGAGGCTGCAGCTGAGGCTGGGCTCACCGGTCTGGGGAGATGAGCTGCGTGGCCACAGGACCCAGGTCGCTCTCAAGGAGGTCCCAGATGTAGACTCTGGAGGCAGCATCCTGAACCAGGAACACGGCGGGCCTCGTCGGGGACCACTGCAGGCTGCAGACGGCGGAGCCTTCAGTGCTGTTGTCCCACTGAGCCAGCGGCCACTCCGACGCCAGCTGATGGAGCCTGATGCTTCCATCCGAGCAGCCAGCCTGCAACCAGGGCATGGGGGCTGTTTGCACGGTTCTGTGTGTGTCTGTGTGTGTGTGTGTGCATGCGTGTGTACAGCCTGCAACCAGGGCGTGGGGGCTGTTTGCACAGTTCTGTGTGTGTGTGTGTGCATGCGTGTGTGTACAGCCTGCAACCAGGGTATGGGGGCTGTTTGCACGGTTCTGTGTGTGTGTGTGTGTGTGTGTGCATGCGTGTGTGCAGCCTGCAACCAGGGCATGGGGGCTGTTTGCACAGTTCTGTGTGTGTGTGTGCATGCGTGTGTGTGCAGCCTGCAACCAGGGCAGGGGGGCTGTTTGCATGGTTCTGTGTGTGTGTGCATGCGTGTGTGTGCAGCCTGCAACCAGGGCGTGGGGGCTGTTTGCACGGTTCTGTGTGTGTGTGTGCATGCGTGTGTGTACAGCCTGCAACCAGGGCATGGGGGCTGTTTGCACGGTTCTGTGTGTGTCTGTGTGTGTGTGTGCATGTGTGTGTGTACAGCCTGCAACCAGGACATGGGGGCTGTTTGCACGGTTCTGTGTGTGTCTGTGTGTGTGCATGCGTGTGTGCAGCCTGCAACCAGGGCATGGGGGCTGTTGCACAGTTCTGTGTGTGTGTGTGTCTGTGTGTGTGCATGCGTGTGTACAGCCTGCAACCAGGGCATGGGGGCTGTTTGCACAGTTCTGTGTGTGTGTGCATGCGTGTGTGTACAGCCTGCAACCAGGGCATGGGGGCTGTTTGCACGGTTCTGTGTGTGTGTGTGTGTGTGTGCATGCGTGTGTGTGCAGCCTGCAACCAGGGCGTGGGGGCTGTTTGCACAGTTCTGTGTGTGTGTGTGTGTGCATGCGTGTGTGTACAGCCTGCAACCAGGGCGTGGGGGCTGTTTGCACGGTTCTGTGTGTGTGTGCATGCGTGTGTGTACAGCCTGCAACCAGGGCATGGGGGCTGTTTGCACGGTTCTGTGTGTGTCTGTGTGTGTGTGTGCATGTGTGTGTGTACAGCCTGCAACCAGGGCATGGGGGCTGTTTGCACGGTTCTGTGTGTGTCTGTGTGTGTGCATGCGTGTGTGCAGCCTGCAACCAGGGCATGGGGGCTGTTGCACAGTTCTGTGTGTGTGTGTGTGTGTCTGTGTGTGTGTGCATGCGTGTGTACAGCCTGCAACCAGGGCATGGGGGCTGTTTGCACAGTTCTGTGTGTGTGTGCATGCGTGTGTGTACAGCCTGCAACCAGGGCATGGGGGCTGTTTGCACGGTTCTGTGTGTGTGTGTGCATGCGTGTGTGTGCAGCCTGCAAGCAGGGCATGGGGGCTGTTTGCACGGTTCTGTGAGTGTGTGAATGCGTGTGTGTGCAGCCTGCAACCAGGGCGTGGGGGCTGTTTGCACAGTTCTGTGTGTGTGTGTGTGCATGCGTGTGTGTACAGCCTGCAACCAGGGCATGGGGGCTGTTTGCACAGTTCTGTGTGTGTGTGCATGCGTGTGTGTACAGCCTGCAACCAGGGCATGGGGGCTGTTTGCATGGTTCTATGTGTGTGTGCGTGCGTGTGTTCAGCCTGCAACCAGGGCGTGGGGGCTGTTGGCATGGTTCTGTGTGTGTGTGTGTGCATGCGTGTGTGTACAGCCTGCAACCAGGGTGTGGGGGCTGTTTGCACAGTTCTGTGTGTGTGTATGTGTGTGTGTGTGCGTGCGTGTGTCCAGCCTGCAACCAGGGCATGGGGGCTGTTTGCACAGTTCTGTGTGTGTGTGTGTGTGTGCATGCGTGTGTGTGCAGCCTGCAACCAGGGCGTGGGGGCTGTTTGCACAGTTCTGTGTGTGTGTGTGTGCATGCGTGTGTACAGCCTGCAACCAGGGCATGGGGGCTGTTTGCACAGTTCTGTGTGTGTGTGTGTGTGCATGCGTGTGTGTCCAGCCTGCAACCAGGGCATGGGGGCTGTTTGCATGGTTCTGTGTGTGTGTGCATGCGTGTGTGTACAGCCTGCAACCAGGGCGTGGGGGCTGTTTGCACAGTTCTGTGTGTTTGTGTGCATGCGTGTATGTCCAGCCTGCAACCAGGGCATGGGGGCTGTTTGCATGGTTCTATGTGTGTGTGTGTGTGTGCGCGTGCGTGTGTGTCCAGCCTGCAACCAGGGCATGGGAGCTGTTTACACAGTTGTGTGTGTGTGTGTGTGTGTGCGTGTGTGTGTGTCCAGCCTGCAACCAGGGCGTGGGAGCTGTTTGCACAGTTCTGTGTGTGTGTGTGCATGCGTGTGTGTCCAGCCTGCAACCAGGGCGTGGGAGCTGTTTGCACAGTTCTGTGTGTGTGTGTGTGTGCATGCGTGTGTCCAGCCTGCAACCAGGGCGTGGGAGCTGTTTGCACAGTTGTGTGTGTGTGTGTGTGTGTGTGCGTGCGTGTGTGTCCAGCCTGCAACCAGGGCATGGGGGCTGTTTGCACAGTTCTGTGTGTGTGTGTGCGTGCATGTGTGAGTGTGTGTGTCCAGCCTGCAACCAGGGCGTGAGAACTATTTGCATGATTCTATGTGTGTGTGTGTGTGTGTCCAGCCTGCAACCAGGGCATTGGGGTTCTTTGCACGGTTCTGTGTGTGTGCGCACGCAGGTGTGTGTGTGTGTCCAGCCTACAACCAGGGTGTGGGGACTGTTTGCACGATTCTGTGTATGTGTGTGTGTGTCCAGCCTGCAACCAGGGCGTTGGGACTGTTTGCACGATTCTGTGTGTGTGCGTGTCCAGCCTGCAACCAGGGCATTGGGGCTGTTTGCACGGTTCTGTGTGCGCACGCATGCACACGTGCGTGTGTGTGTGTGTCCAGCCTGCAACCAGGGTGTGGGGACTGTTTGCATGGTTGTGTGGTTCTGTGCACGCGCGCGTGCGTGTGTGTGTGTGTGTGTGTGGTAGTACTGGGCCTGGAACTCAGGGCCTGGCACTGTCCCTGAACTTGTTTGCTACCACTTGAGCTACAGCTTTTCTTTTGGCTTTTTGGAGGTTAACTGGAGATAAATGTCTCTCAAACATTCCTGCCTGGGCTGGCTTCAAACCAAACCGCAGGTCTCATTTCCCCGATTTCAGGCGTGAGCCACTGGCACCCAGCTTGCACACTGCAACCAGAGAAAATGTTCAGCGCATTACTGTTTGGTTTCTAAAACGAACATTAGGCTTTTGTTTTCCAAACCTGAAGCTAACTCATTGAATCTACCCTCACAAATTATACAGTGAGCAGCACCCTCAACTCTAATACTGCCTCTCTTGAGGCTCACCACCTGCATAGCTACTGAATACGTGCATCGTTATTATTTTATTTTTGTGTTGGCACTGGAACTTGAACTCAGGGCCTGGGAGCTGTCCTTTAGCTTTTTTGATCAAGGCTAGAACTCTACCACTTGAGCCATAGCTCCACTACCAGCATTTTGGTGGTTAACAGGAGATAAGAGTCTCCTAAAATGTCTTGCCCAGGTTGGCTTTGAACTACAGCTCTCAGATCTCAGCCTCCTGAGTAGCTAGGATTACAGACATGAACCACTGGTGCCCGACTAATATCTTTATTTTTTAACAGGCTGGATACTATTGAGTCAAGCGCAAGCCATAAGGCTGGTTACACAGAAATGAATAAATCACCTTTTTAGAGTTAATACATCTGCATCCACAGTATGACTATACATTCTCTTTGAATTAAAATTTCCATGAAACAACACTTAGCTGGTTTAGTAAAGCAAAATTTTAGCTTATGAAGATATTTGATTCATCGTTATTCTTTTTAATCCCTGACATACTTAAAAAAGGAAATAAAATGAAGAATGGAAGTCAAATTCTAAAAAGGAAATGAAAAGAAAAACAGATAAAATTATGCTGCAAAAATAAAAATGAATGAATGAAAATAGAAATCCATGCTGCAAAACCTCATCAGGAAGAGGGGTGAGCAGCCGAGTGTCTCTGGGTGCTGCGTCTGGCGTTCTAGGACTGCAGATCACCGCTGCAGTCAACCAGCCCCTCCCTAAGTTCACGTCCCGAAAGCCTGGTTCTCAATGATGTGGGGTCGGGAGGTGGTAGGTAACAACTACCAACAAGTGGCTTTCCAGGCTGTGGATGAGCTCAGGGGCGGGTGCCTGACTAGCACACACACAGCTGTGGCTGGACAACTAAAAAAAGTTACTTTCTTGTGGCTTAGTGGTGAAGTGCTTGCCTAGCATGCATGAAGCCCTGGATTCAATTCTTCATTACTACATGCACAGGAAAAGCCAGAAGTGGTGCTGTGGCTCAAGTGGTAGAGTAGCTAGCCTTGAGCAAAAGAGGCTCAGGGACAGTACCCAGACCCTGGGTTCAAGCCCCAGGACTGGGGGAAAAAAATTTACTTTCTTACCAAGAATATTGGTTCTCCAAATGGTGAAAAATCAATCACATTAACTTTCACTGGTCGCATACCATGTTGCTGAGGTTTGAACAGCTTGGGGGACACCTTCACATCTTGTCTTGTGCCATGGCTTACAAAACCCTAGTAATAAAAAAGACCAAGCGTGAAGCAAGGAGAGCATGTGGCCTAAGGTTGGACAAATTAGGCAGCATTATAATAAAAGGAAAGAGTTCATCTATCTTATATAAAGATACGCATCAGCTAACCCTGGGGGAAGAAGAACGAATACCAAGATAAAATATAAGCTACTGCTCACCAGGTCTGTGCCAACAATAAAGTGATTAGAATCTGAAGGCAGAAACTTGACACTCAGTGTTTGTGTAGGTCCCCAGAATTCAATGTCTTTTCGGTGAAGACTGAAAGAAAAAAACAGCAACGATGAACAAGTGGCTTGTTTGGGAGGCGAGGCTACACACCAGTCCTTCAGTTAGCTCTACCACTGGGTGCGGGGCCTGACGGGTCACACTTCCTCTGGATGGTAGCATCTCTGTTGTGCTGTTGTGCACTTGGTAGTGTCTGTAGACCTTTCACCCTGATCGCCTATTTTCCCTTCAGCTCTGTTAACTCTGCTGCGTAACCATTAGTGGTTTTGAACTGCAGAAGCAACAGCCTCACTTCTAAGGGCTCGAGTTTTTAGGGGGATAATCAATGCGTGCTTTGTACCTTGGTGGACTGCTGCCTTTTCTTGCTGGAACCGACGACCCGAGGCCGCACAGAGTCCTTCTTGCCAGCGGTTGTCCCAGTGCCTCTGAGGCCCCTGCTCTGGAACTTGCTGGAAGGCTCCCCTGCCACACCCAACTTGGGATTTCAAGTTCTTCCAAGACAGGGGAGGGAACTCACTTTCTCCCACGCTAAACAAGTGGGTTCCGGAGCCCCAGTTCTTGCTCCATGCATCAGACAGATCCCAATGGGCCTCACAGTGCAAGCGCACAGTGGAGAGTTAGCACAGCTCAGCCTGGCTTCCCGGCCTCTGAGCCGCCGCTGGCCGGAAGCTGGCCTCAACTTCCCTCCGTGCCCCTTCCATCTAGAGATCGGGAGCTTGCCTTGAGCTGAAGAGCTGAGGGACAGCGCCCAGGCCTAGAGTCCAAGCCCCACGACTGACTATATCTGTATCTATATATCTCAAATGCCTCTCTGTTCTCCCACAGTAGGTGTCTCTCAGCCTCCACTCCTAAGTTAGCAGCCACACTGCTCTTTTCAAAATATAAATCCCCCCCCCAAAAAAATATATATATAAATCCCAAAATACACTTTGTTGCTTCCTACCAGTTAGTTTCTTTTCAGACTGTATAAAATGTGCGCCTTTCTCTGAGCCCCGGAAGGCTTCTCTGTCCAAACCCTTTTCCATCATTATTTTCCACACATCATTTTCCACACCGATGGTACATTTGCCTTTTTTTGGTCTTTAAAATAGTGGCTGAAACTCTCTCCTAATTGTCACAGACTCAGTATACTCAATCTCAAATACTTTGCTTCACTGGGTCTGAGATTGAAAGTCTTTCCTTGATGCCCCGAGCCCTCCTATGCAAGCTAGAGAGCACAAGTGTGTTCCAGCTGCTCTCTCTAGCTGTGTTTGTTAGCAAATATATATATATATATATATATATATATATGCATATATATATGTGTATATGACAACTATTTTAAAAAGATGCTAGAAAAATTTAATAAGTAAAAAAATATATAATTAAATTCATATACTTTATATCAAGTTGTAATATTTTATACAGTCCTATGAAAGTTGACAGATTTATCCACATACAAAATTAAAAATTAACTTATCAAAAATACCATAAGCAAGCCAGGCATCAGTGGCTCACACCTGTAATTTCAGCTTCCTCACGAGCCTGAGATCTGAGTACCACAGTTCAAAGCCAGACAGCACTTTCCTGCCGGAAAGTCTGTGAGATTCTTATTTACAATTAACCACAAAAAGCCAGAAGTGGCGCTGTGGCTCAAGTGGCAGAGCACTAGCCTTGAGCAAAAGCAGCTCAGGAACAGTGCCCAGACCCTGAGACCAAGCCTCAACAGACATACCAAAATAAAGCCATAAACAATGCTAGCAGCAACTGTTTAATGATCAGGGAATACTTTATAAGGATTAGTATGCTAACTCAGTGAAATTTTACAAATGTGCTGAAACACATAAGGTGTTCTTTCAAATAAGTTAGAAAGAATATACAAAAATCAAAGTGAACCAGGCACACACTTCGGATTACAGGCACTACTCAGGGGACTGTGTGTCTGAGGATCAGTACAAAGCCTGCCTGGGCAGCAATGTCCGTCAGACCGCTGTGACTCAAGTGGTAGAGCGCTAGCCTTGAGCTGAAGAGCTCAGGGTCAGACTGCTGTGACTCAAGTGGTAGAGCGCTAGCCTTGAGCTGAAGAGCTCAGGGTCAGACTGCTGTGACTCAAGTGGTAGAGCGCTAGCCTTGAGCTGAAGAGCTCAGGGACAGCGCCCAGACCCTGAGTTCAAGCCGAACGACAGACAAAAGAAAAAAAAAAATGAAGTGATGTCAATCTAGGTCAAGCTAGGCTATCACCAAGAAGTGACCATTTCACTGCAGCCCATGCCCACCCCCCACCCCGTTTCTGCTCCTAAAACCTCATCTAGGTTTAACTTCAGGTTTGCATTAAGATGGAATATGAAAGAAACAAATACATCGATTTGTAAGATAGGAAGCACTTTTTTTATCAAAAAGCTCTGAACTTGGATATACATTATTACATTTACTCATTACTAATAAATGAAATAGTAAAAACAGAATGTAAGAGAGTGTGCCTTCATAACATGTGCAGTTAATCCAACGCTACCTTCTTCCTGCCAGACACGGGTCTTGAAAGGAGGGCAGTGTTAGCGCGCAGAGACCAGTCTCACCTGTTACCCAACTGGATCACAGAGCTGTGCACCAACTTGATCCTCCCTCCAGGCAGGAGACCTGGAAACGACAAGCCAGACCAGAGGCCGATTCATACCAGCTTCGCACAGGCCGACCGTACCTGAACCCCTGACTGTTTCCATGGCTCTGCTCATAAATACCACAAAATGGAACTCCCTTCCCGAGTTGGGGCGTGCAGACAGTGGGGTCAGGAATGGGGGCCCCACGCTTCAAGTCTGGTACAACCAGGGCACGGCAGCACGCACACTCGACACTCCTGACACCCACGGCGGCACACACTCAACACACTCGACACTCCTGACACCCACGGCAGCACACACACTCAACACTGCTGACACCCACGGCAGCACACACTCGACACACTCGACACTGCTGACACCCACGGCGACACACACACTCAACACTGCTGACACCCACGGCGGCACACACTCAACACTGCTGACACCCACGGCGGCACACACTCGACACTGCTGACACCCACGGCGGCACACTCGACACACTCGACACTCCTGACACCCACGGCAGCACACACTCGACACTCCTGACACCCATGGCAGCACACACTCGACACACTCGACACTCCTGACACCCACGGCAGCACACACTCAACACACTCAACACTCCTGACACCCACGGCGGCACACACAACACACTCGACACTGCTGACACCCACGGCGGCACACACTCGACACACTCGACACTCCTGACACCCACAGAAGCACACACTCGACACTCGACACTGCTGACACCCACGGCGGCACACACAACACACTCGACACTGCTGACACCCACGGCAGCACACACTCAACACACTCGACACTGCTGACACCCACGGCAGCACACACTCAACACACTCGACACTGCTGACACCCACGGCGGCACACACACTCGACACTCGACACTGCTGACACCCACGGCAGCACACACTCGACACACTCAACACTCCTGACACCCACGGCAGCACACACTCAACACACTCGACACTGCTGACACCCACGGCAGCACACACTCGACACACTCGACACTGCTGACACCCACGGCGGCACACACACTCGACACACTCGACACTCCTGACGTGACAACAAACACACTGGACACTCCACACGCCTGTCCCATGACAGCAAGCTAATCCACACTCCTGACACCAATGGAAAACACTGTGCAGTCAATGTCCACAGGGAGGGCCGCAGGGAAAGACATCCTTGGAACACAAACACGGGGTCCCTGGCCCGTCCATCCTCCTCAGTGCTCTCCATCCTCCTCAGTGCTCCCCATCCTCCTCAGTGCTCCCCATCCTCCTCAGTGCCCTCCATCCTCCTCAGTGCCCCCCATCCTCCTCAGTGCCCCCCATCCTCCTCAGTGCCCCCCATCCTCCTCAGTGCTCCCCATCCTCAGTGCCCCCCATCCTCCTCAGTGCCCTCCATCCTCCTCAGTGCCCTCCATCCTCCTCAGTGCTCCCCATCCTCCTCAGTGCTCCCCATCCTCCTCAGTGCTCCCCATCTTCCTCAGTGCTCTCCATCCTCAGTGCCCCCCATCCTCCTCAGTGCCCTCCATCCTCCTCAGTGCCCCCCATCCTCCTCAGTGCCCCCCATCCTCCTCAGTGCCCCCCATCCTCCTCAGTGCCCTCCATCCTCCTCAGTGCCCCCCATCCTCCTCAGTGCCCTCCATCCTCCTCAGTGCCCTCCATCCTCCTCAGTGCCCTCCATCCTCCTCAGTGCTCCCCATCCTCCTCAGTGCTCCCCATCCTCCTCAGTGCTCTCCATCCTCCTCAGTGCTCCCCATCCTCCTCAGTGCCCTCCATCCTCCTCAGTGTTCCCCATCCTCCTCAGTGCCCTCCATCCTCCTCAGTGTTCTCCATCCTCCTCAGTGCCCTCCATCCTCCTCAGTGTTCCCCATCCTCCTCAGTGCTCTCCATCCTCCTCAGTGCCCTCCATCCTCCTCAGTGCCCTCCATCCTCCTCAGTGCTCTCCATCCTCCTCAGTGCTTCCCATCCTCCTCAGTGCTCTCCATCCTCCTCAGTGCTCTCCATCCTCCTCAGTGCCCCCCATCCTCCTCAGTGCTCTCCATCCTCCTCAGTGCTCTCCATCCTCCTCAGTGCTCCCCATCCTCCTCAGTGCCCTCCATCCTCCTCAGTGTTCCCCATCCTCCTCAGTGCCCTCCATCCTCCTCAGTGTTCTCCATCCTCCTCAGTGCCCTCCATCCTCCTCAGTGCCCTCCATCCTCCTCAGTGCTCCTCATCCTCCTCAGTGCTCCCCATCCTCCTCAGTGCCCTCCATCCTCCTCAGTGCTCCCCATCCTCCTCAGTGCTCCCAATCCTCCTCAGTGTTCCCCATCCTCCTCAGTGCCCTCCATCCTCCTCAGTGCTCTCCATCCTCCTCAGTGCTTCCCATCCTCCTCAGTGCCCTCCATCCTCCTCAGTGCCCTCCATCCTCCTCAGTGCCCTCCATCCTCCTCAGTGCCCTCCATCCTCCTCAGTGCCCTCCATCCTCCTCAGTGCTCCCCATCCTCCTCAGTGCTCCCCATCCTCCTCAGTGCTCCCCATCCTCCTCAGTGCTCTCCATCCTCCTCAGTGCCCTCCATCCTCCTCAGTGCCCTCCATCCTCCTCAGTGTTCTCCATCCTCCTCAGTGCTCTCCATCCTCCTCAGTGCCCTCCATCCTCCTCAGTGCTCCCCGGCCTCCTCAGTGCCCTCCATCCTCCTCAGTGCTCCCCATCCTCCTCAGTGCTCCCCATCCTCCTCAGTGCTCCCCATCCTCCTCAGTGCTCCCCATCCTCCTCAGTGCCCTCCATCCTCCTCAGTGCCCCCCATCCTCCTCAGTGCTCCCCATCCTCCTCAGTGCTCCCCATCCTCCTCAGTGCTCCCCATCCTCCTCTGCCCCCCCATCCTCCTCAGTGCCCCCCATCCTCCTCAGTGCTCTCCATCCTCCTCAGTGCTCCCCATCCTCCTCAGTGCTCCCCATCCTCCTCAGTGCCCTCCATCCTCCTCAGTGCTCTCCATCCTCAGTGCTCCCCATCCTCCTCAGTGCCCTCCATCCTCCTCAGTGCTCCCCATCCTCCTCAGTGCCCTCCATCCTCCTCAGTGCTCCCCATCCTCCTCAGTGCCCTCCATCCTCCTCAGTGCTCCCCATCCTCCTCAGTGCCCTCCATCCTCCTCAGTGCTCCCCATCCTCCTCAGTGCTCTCCATCCTCCTCAGTGCTCCCCATCCTCCTCAGTGCTCTCCATCCTCCTCAGTGCTCTCCATCCTCCTCAGTGCTCTCCATCCTCCTCAGTGCTCCCCGGCCTCCTCAGTGCTCTCCATCCTCCTCAGTGCTCCCCATCCTCCTCAGTGCCCCCCATCCTCCTCAGTGTTCCCCATCCTCCTCAGTGCCCTCCATCCTCCTCAGTGTTCTCCATCCTCCTCAGTGCCCTCCATCCTCCTCAGTGTTCCCCATCCTCCTCAGTGCTCTCCATCCTCCTCAGTGCCCTCCATCCTCCTCAGTGCCCTCCATTCTCCTCAGTGCTCCCCATCCTCCTCAGTGCTCTCCATCCTCCTCAGTGCTCCCCGGCCTCCTCAGTGCTCTCCATCCTCCTCAGTGCTCCCCATCCTCCTCAGTGCTCCCCATCCTCCTCAGTGCTCCCCATCCTCCTCAGTGCTCCCCATCCTCCTCAGTGCTCCCCGGCCTCCTCACACACCTCAGGGCTCTGCTCCAGGCTGCTCCTCTTGGGCCCTTCCTTTCCCTCACCGTGTCTGGGACCCCCGGCCATGTGCCTTTGCTCCCTACCCATCCCACTGCCATGCTGGCTTTTGCTCTTTGCTGAAAATGGAGAAAACAGGGGTTCACATATACAGGAACCCACACTCTGGGCATGGTGCTGCCTAGAACTCTGGGGGCCGTTGGTGCGGCAGGGCGGCCACCACCCTGCCACGGTGGCGGGAGAGCACTCAGGCTGGTGTTCACGAATGTGACCCTGCCCAGCAGAGCTGCCCCAGGGTCAGCCCACAGGACTGGCAAACCACCGCCCCTAACTGCTATCCCACACGAGGCCCGTCAGCACCAGCCCCACATAGACCCTTTCCCAAGTCTAAGAACCTGGGCCAGCCACTACCAGTCCACACTCTGACACAACCTGAAACAGGAGGCTGGAGACAAATACCCAGGTAAGGAAACTGGGCTGGAAGCAGAGAGACCAGAGAGTGCAATTCCTGAGCCCTGGGAACCCACACCCACATCCCAGGGCATCGTGCAGCGCATACAACAGCGCAAATGCAGGGGACTCCATTTTCCGCCCCCAGTCACTTCTTTGTGCGGAACTCCGTGCCATTTGGACCCACTATCCCTGGCCTAGGGAGAGCCATCCAGGGCACACGAGCGAGTGGTAGAAAATCAGAATCACAAGGAAGAAGCCCCAAAGCCAAGGAGGACGTGCAGCCATCAGCGCCCCGTCTCTCTCTCTCGAGAGAGAGAGAGAGAGAGAGAAACTCCCGGTCAGGGGCAGAGCACCATGGGAGCACCCGCCATCAGCGCCCCGTCTCTCAGAGCGTGACTCCCGGTCAGGGCAGAGCACCACGGGAGCACCCGCCATCAGCGCCCCGTCTCTCGGAGCATGACTCCCGGTCGGGGCAGAGCACCATGGGAGCACCCGCCATCAGCGCCCCGTCTCTCGAGATCGACTCCCGGTCGGGGCAGAGCACCATGGGCGCACCCCAGCAACTGCTCAACTGTTCATCAAACAGAACTGGCTCAAGTAGCTAATGGTAGTGTCACAAACAGGCATATCCTTAAGCTCTGCTCATTTTAGCGAAACCTAACTAAAATTAACGTTTGAGTTTAATAGTTACCTAAATCACTCATTGAGCCTGCCATATCTGCCTTTGGCAGTTCAACAACCACCTAAAAATAAAATATGAAAAATGAGAGTTGGTACATTTCGTAATTCTAAGCATTTTATAACAATCTAAGCGAAGAATAGTTCTAAGGTATTATGTATATTGGGTCCTATAATTGCTTTGGAAAAAAGATCAGTCACTAACTTTAGGACTGATACTTAACTTTTGTATTTCCTTCCTTTTTTTTTTTTTGGGTCCGGTCGTGGGGCCTGAACTCTGGGCCTGGGCACTATCCCTCAGCTCTTCAGCTCAAGGCTAGCACTCTACCACTTGAGCCACAGCGCCACTTCCAGCTTTTTTCCTTTTTCTGCTTATGTGGTGCTGGGGAATCGAACCCAGGGCCTCAGGCATGCAAGGCAAGCGCTCTACCACTGAGCCACTTTCCCAGCCCTGTATTTCCTTCCTTTTGATCTAGGGCTACTCTCCTCATCCAGTGACATTTCACGCACACGGTAGGACAGTCCCAACACTCTCTAGCTCCAATACCTTGCTCCAGCCCTCCTTCCATATCCTGAAGGCCTGCAGAAGGTCCCCTGGGTACAAGATCCGCCATCCCCTCTTCACAGCACTAATAAGCCTGATCCTAGCAAACTGCCTCACCATCCTAGTCTTTCCCGAGCTCCCCGCCCAAATTCAGGTGCTGCTCTCTACCCAACCACTTTCACCCCAAGCCTGTGTGTCCAGCCCTGACCTCCGACTTACCCACATATTGAGAATCCCGCTCTCATCCAAGGAAGCAATGTGGAATGATAAACCTGACATTTCTAAGGAAAACAGAAAGAAAAGAAAGTTACCATAACTTAAGAAGTCACATTTCCTACCTGTAGCTCGCAGGATTTTACAGGAGAGATCACGTACCTTCCTGAGTCGTGAAAGGAGAAAGCACGAAACTCTGTTTTCTGTAGACAGATGTGGCAACAGGTTCTATGGCCCGAAGAGGACTTCGGTGGTTTACCGATGTGAGGATTCCATCTAGAATTTAAGGCCCACAGGGTCCATGCGTCAGTACAAGTCATAGAACTAGCAAGAAATAACACGAGAAATGAAGGAAAAGAAGGGTCATCTCAGAAATGAAGACCACACAGCAGGGGACGCACGCGGCCTCTGGGGTGAAGTCTGGTCACCCACCAGGAAAACACAAATCCCTACTCAATAAAATTACAAAAAGGGCCTGGAATGCCTGCTTAGTAAGAGCGAGCCCCAGAGGTCACACCCTGTGCTGCCGACATCAAGACCCTGAGACACACTCTCTCTCCAGAAAGGCAGTGTGTGGCTGGTGAGGCAGGTGCAGGCCTATGACCCCAGCTACTGAGGAGGCTGAGGGCTGAGGATGGCGGTTCGAAGCCAGCCACGCAGCGAAGTCCAGAAGACTCTTGTCTACCCCAGCAAATGTGTATAAGAAGTCAAGAGCGACACTGTTCAAGAGAAATGCACTTCAGTACCTGACTTATGCAAATATAACCGCTCTGTACATAGCTTTACAATAAAAAAATAATAATAAAATTTTTTTTTAAAGACTCTTGTCTCCATTAACCACCAAAAAAGCCTGAAGGGGAGGTATGGCACAAGTGGTAGAATACTAGCCTTGAACGACAACACCAAGAAGCTGAAGCCAGGTCAACCTCTGAGTTCAATCCCTAGAACCAGCACAAACAACAACAACAATAATAATAACAATCAAAAAAAATAGGCAAAAGATCTGAACAGGCATAAGCAGTGAAGATATACAGTAGACAAGTGCACGAAAAATGTTCAACATCACTGTCATTAGGGAGTAGAAGTTAAAAACCACAGTTAGATACTATTACTAAATTTAAAATAAATGATAAACACCAGATGTTGGGAAGAATGCAGAGCTGCTGAAACTCTCGTATTTTGCTTGGGATACAAACTGGTATGCACATTTGGATACAGGCTCTTAGATGCAGATGTCTGAATTAACCAAACGAACATACAAAGTAGGAATGAGATTGTGAAACATGAAGCAACACAAAGGAATCAAGCGCGCCTAAGACATCTGGAAAAAGCAAAACTACAGAGCCAGAAGATAGATCCGTGCCTGTGAGAAGTCTCAGCATGGCGTCGTGCGCTCCCGAGGGTGAACAAAGGAGGAGATCAGACAACAGAAAGCAGAGCTGGCCTGCAGGCCCCAGGGCTCCATCCCCGACAGGAAGGAGCCATTCCAGGAAAGGTGTCACACCACAGCTGGAGTCAGGCCTGTCCCTCTGAGTACGTGTCACCTCTCTAACAAGCACACTATATATAAAGCATTCAGAGAAATTCACAGAAAGAGGACAGATTTGCCATGTGCTGTGCTGGCTATGGTGGGCACACAAAGAACCTTTCACCTGCGTAAAACTGAGGGTCGTGGTGGGCTGCACAGATGCATTCCCGTTCACCCCCTCGGCTGCCTCAACCACCGATTACGCCACAGGAGCGCACACATGCCAATATGCCTTAACTCAAGACTACAATCACAGTCAACCATCAACCAATATTCAAACTAAACTTTATGTTGTTTAGAAATGTTCAGAATCTACAAATTAAACACACACAAAAATCCCAAGCACGACTGGCCCTAGGTTAGGGCTCCTTGGACGAATTTTATTTTTCTCTACTCATCTGCCCCATGGCTCAGACCCCAGACGTGACGAATGGGGCGTGAGTGGGGCTGGTCACAGATGACACTGACCAGTGGAAAATGTCGGTGTCCTGAACGTCCAGGAGCAGTCGCTCAGCCTCACATAGTGGTGTATTCTGGAGTCTTCTCTCAAGTCCCACACAACCACCGAGCCATGCACTGTCCCCGCAAACAGCAAGAATGCTTTAAAAGGGCTGAAGCAGCAGCACGTGACCTGCAACAAAAATGCAGACAGCTGATGGCCAGGAAACACAACACAGCAGTCACGGAAGCCAAGTTCACTAAGGGCGGTGTCTGACAGCTTTCATTTATACAGATGAGTGCCACTACAGAACCTTTCCCTCCAGGGAGCCGCAGGGTATAGTACACAAGTAAAATTTACAGTATAGTATATGAATAAAATTTAATTTGTGAGTACTTAAATGAAAAACAGGACGCCAAACCCCCATGTAAGATTGTAATGGTCACAACTATAATGTGGTTAGCTACATCTGGGTATACAAAATGTGCTTAATAACCTTTCCCTTCAATGCAAGTAAGTGAACCTCAAAAACGGCAATTGCAGCCTCTGCGACTTTATTTACACCTTATATTGCAATGTTTTTGTTTTCAAGGACTAGCACGAGAGAAGGTGTTCATGTGGTTTTGAAATCAGTGGTTCTGAAGTCAGTCAAAAAGGAAGCAGACTCAAGCAGGCATTGTCACCATGGACCAAGTAGACACTTGTGGTAACGCAGATACGGCAGCGGCGTTAAGTAGCACAGCCACAAAGTGAATTCGTGGGGTTCCACAGCTGAGCCCGGGCGGCCAATCACTGCCTAATTGTGGGCGACCCAGAGCCACTGCCTGATAACCCTGGCTTCCTTTCAATAAGCTCATCTTAGAATCTCTAGGTCAAATCAAAACCCCTCCACATGTCCTATCACTCGCCAGAACCAAGGCGGAACGGGACCCCAGCGTCCCTACGGTCTCCCACCTGCCAGCACCAGCACACACGGCCGCCTCGCCTCAGTGTACCTTGGACTCACATATCAGAGCCTTCTGAGGCCCTGAGGGCTGCCAAATGTCCCACACACAGAGGAGGAGCCTGCTGTCCAGCGGCGGGAAGGACGCCTTCCCGGGGACGTCGTGGACGGAGACCACCGTCTGCCTCTGCACCTGAGAGGCATGTAAGCAGAGCACTTCGCGATCTGGAGGTTTTTAAAAAAGGTGCATTTTAGTCACTTTAACAGAATCCATGTCACATTAACGCACGTTACTCAAATTCCAGCTTATGAAAAGAACAAGCATGGTCCCTCAAAGCTGAACAAATATGAAATCTGGATTGTTGTTGGGCTGGGGTTTTCTTTGCCAGCCCTGGGGCTTGAACTCAGGGTCTGGGTGCTGTCCCTGAGCCTCTTTGTGCTCAAGCCTAGCACCATACCATATGAGCCACAGCACCACTTCTAGCTTTATTCTGAGGTCATTGGAGACAAGAGTCTCCGGCTTTCCTGCCCAGGCTAACTTCAAACCACGATCCTCAGATTTCAGCTCCTGAGTAGCTAGGATTACAGTGAAAGCCACTGGTGTCCAGTGAAATCTGGGTTTTAATAAATGACCACACAGCCTACACTCAAATCTGTGTCGATGCTGACCTTGCTGTTTGAGAACCCTTCCCATACAGTGCAGCCCTGCCCACCAGCTCATCACTCAAAGGCCAAGGAGCTGGAATCTCAGCAGGAACAAACAGGAAATGACCCCAGTCCCTTTGTCTTCACTGCTGTTAGGACTCTCCGTTCTCTTTAGAACAGCCCTCAGAGCACTGCACAGCAAACAGTTCTGCTCCAACACTTCACGGTTGGCAGACTGCCCTGTCCCAGAGCCCCCAGCAGCCAGCCAAACCTCTCCCAGGCACGAAGCAGCAAAGGACCAAAGACTCAAGAAAGAACTCGACAGCACTGCGGCAAAGTCAGAGGAGAACAGAGAGCACTGTATACGTCTGGCCCAGCTGTTCCTAAGTCACACGCGTGTCCATGCGTGTACACACATGTAGTGGCCTACACCATCCACCTAGGGGTCCAATTTCCCTCCTTCAGGGAGATCTATCCACTCTATAACCACTTCCAGCTACCGAACTTCAGAACCCTCCCCCTGCAGACCCCAGGCCCAGAGCCCCTCCCCCTGCAGTCCCCAGGCCCAGAATCCTCCCCCTAGCAGACCCCAGGCCCAGAATCCTCCCCCTGCAGTCCCCAGCCCCGGAACCCCTCCCCCAGCAGACCCCAGGCCCAGAGCCCCTCCCCCGTGACCCGAGGCCCAGAACCCCTCCCCCTGCAGACCCCAGGCCCAGAGCCCCTCCCCCGTGACCTGAGGCCCAGAACCCTTCCCCCAGCAGACCCCAGGCCCAGAACCCCTCCCCCTGCAGTCCCCAGGCCCAGAGCCCCTTCCCCGTGACCTGAGGCCCAGAACCCCTCCCCCTGCAGACCCCAGGCCCAGAACCCCTCCCCCTGCAGTCCCCAGGCCCAGAGCCCCTCCCCCGTGACCTGAGGCCCAGAATCCTCCCCCTGCAGACCCCAGGTCCAGAACCCTCCCCCATGGATCTGAGGCCCAGAACCTTCTCCTTTGAACCTGAGGCTCTCCTCTGGAGAACCATGCCAGGGGAACCCTTTGGAACACATTGGCGATTTGCCACTTTCACTGGGTTCCTATTTATGTGAGTTGGGCAGTTTTCCGGGTGCTGGTGGTAATCCCATTGTCCCCCAAGCTCTGCTGTTTTCCCTGGCACTGTTGTAGAGAGTGGCGGACTTTAGGAACATATGCATCGTGTTTGGCAGAGCTGATGGCGGTCCACAGCCAGCCCGTGTTCTCTGCAGCCTCTTGGCGCTGCGAAGTCAGAGACTGCCTAGGCCTCACCTCCACAGGAAGCACCCCAGGCTCCTCCCGGACACTTCCTCATTCACACCGAGTCCTCTGCCATCTTCACTTTGTTTTTTTTGCCAGTCCAGGGGCTTGAACTCATGGCCTGGTGGGCACTGTCCCTGAGCTTCTCTGTGCTCAAAGCTAGTGCTCTACCACTTGAGCCACAGTGCTACCTACATTTTTTCTGAGTAGTATTTTGGCAATAAGTCTCACAGACTTTCTTGCCCAAACTGTCTTCTAATCCCGGTCCTCAGACCTCAGCCTCCTGAGTAGCCAGGATTACAGACGTGGGCTTTTATCTTCACTTTTCTCCTCAGAACTTACCCCTTCCTAAGATATTACATCTTTTACATGTTTAGTCAGCTTGCGGGCCATTTGACCCATCAAAAGATACGTTTCATGAAGGCGTGATTCCTGTCTGCTCAATTCATTGCTAATCCTCTGAGCCTACTAAAATCACTTAATAAATGCATAAGATGCATGTACTAATAGAAACGACAGGATTCCGTGTACACTGATGTACCACTATTATCTGACTACAGAGCTGACACACTAGTGAGTTGAAATGTTAAGTTCACAAAAGTGAAATGACCTAATCAAATAAGAAAAATAATTAAGAACACAAAGCTTCCACTACTTTCACATGCAGAAAATGCCTTAAGACCAAATGTAAATTAGTGTTGAATGAAAGATTCTGCATATAAGTAATGGATGTTTTTATGTATCTGTGGTCACCATTCTACATTGTTCCTTGAGAAAAATCATCTTTTTCTTTGCTTCTTTGTGCACTGGAGTGCGAGAACGGGGATTGTCATTGTTTCCAGTACTACAGGTTCAGTGACTTACTGGTTTTCTGAAGGATGATGCTTTTAAGATAAAACACTCTCAAAGAATGTGATTTGAGTGTGTGTGCCAGTCCTAGAGCTTGAACTCAGAGCCTGCCTGACCCTGGGCTTTTCTGTTCAAGGTTAGGACTCTGCCACTTGAGCCACAGCTCCATTTTTGGTTTTTAGGTGGCTAATTTTGGACATAGGGTCTCACAGACTTTCCCAAGCTGACTTTGAAATGCAATCCTCAGATCTCAGGCTCCTGAGTAGCTAGGGTTACAGCTATAAGGCACTAGAACCTCAAGAATGTGAAGATTTTTAAATGAACAGTGAGTGCCATCTTGGTTAATGTTAAAGGAGAGAAGAATGTATGTGAGTCAAGTTCTAAACAGCAGGCAGGACAAGGAAAGTCTAGCATAGGTAGCAACCCATGACTAGAGCACATTTACATCCTAATCTTTGGAAGAAAACCCCACTTCTTGGCCTACCTCTGTTTCTGTCACAGCTTTACACAAGCTAAAGCCATATCACTGGCCACATCTGGAAAGACAAAGCCACTAGATATAGAAATTTACAACTTATCTTCCAAATGCAGCTTGTTTAAACTGATTTAAATAATTACATATAGTTATACACTGTGAGTGATACCATATGCTTCATTTGTTTAGCCTGTTATGTTCTGTAACCATATTAACTTAAAAATGTTAAATGTCTATGTCATTCATTTTGCCATTTTACAAAACATGAGTCTTTTTCTGCTTTATATACAATAAACTTTATCACTAAACTTTATCACTTCAAAACAAAATGCAATATTAATTTCCACTGTATCTTGAGCAGTTTGATTAAGACCTCATTAAGGAAAGGCTTCTTACTTTGAAGGAATGGCAGGTCAGTGTTCAGCTGACAGGAGCTGTCACTAACATGTAGGGAATTGTCTTCAGCCGTGAGCTGCCAACTGGGTCTGGCTGACAAACGACCCTCTTCAAGCAAAACAGCAACCACCTTTCAAAAACAAGGGAGTAGTCTTTTTAACAATGCATTTATGTTTTCCAAAAAAAATTACCTTCTCATGATATTACCTTCTGCAAATAAATGCTTGGTCCCACCACATAATAACAACAATAACAAAAAACCTTACTTTTATTTTTCCTGCATAATAATGGAAACTACAAAAGGTAACTTTAAATAATGCCACAAAATGGCCACTATTTCAACTTCCACATTGTTGCTGTTTTCACTAAATACACTCCTAAAAAAAAATCCAGTGTAAGAAACAGACTGAAGATCCAACCAATAAAAAATACACCAGGCGGGCTGGGAAGGTGGCTCAGTGGTACAGCGCTTGCCTTGTATGCATGAGGCCCTGGGTTCAATTCCTCAGCACCACATAAGCAAAAAGAAAAATGCCAGAAGTGGCGCTGTGACTCAAGTGGTAGAGCGCTAGCCTTGAGCTGAAGAGCTGAGGGACAGCACCCAGGCCCAGAGTTCAGGCCCCACGACTGGACCCAAAAAAAAAACCCAGTTATTTTATGTAAGAAGTTAGTATTGTGCAATCCAAACACATAGATAGTACTTCCAGTAGCACACATTTACCCAGTGTTACTTTGTATACAAGGGCTCAATGAATGTACCACTAATAGTTCATAAGAAAATACATGAAAACAACTGATTCTGGTTTATCTGAGCTATAAAGCGTCTAAAGTTTTAAGAACTCCTAAGATTCTGTAGAGAATGAATCTTAAGTGCTTACACACAGGGTAATCACACAACAGAATATACCTGACACGCTGCCCGGAGAAAACTGGATAATCTTGGAGTATCAATCTTCGGTACAATTGTTGCATCAGAGAGACCTCTGTCTCTACTACCTAAAAAGTACAGGTTAAATGAAGTCAGTAATGCTGACTCCAACACAGTCATGTCATGCTTATATTAGCGTTCACATAAGTGTTGTCACTATTGAGAGCCCTAAAAGGAAATATCAGAATACTTTGCATTATAGTTTCTAGATCTCTGAATGATTCCCCCAAAATGCATATTATTTTATATAAATCTGCAAGCTAAGTCTTATGTAAATGTCTTAGAGAAGGCAGTCAATGGGGCTGGGAAGGTGGCTCAGTGGTAGAGCGCTTGCCTTGCATGCATGAGGCCCTGGGTTCGATTCCTCAGCACCACATAAGCAAAAAGAAAAAAGCCGGAAGTGGCGCTGTGGCTCAAGTGGTAGAGCGCTAGCCTTGAGCTGAAAAGCTGAGGGACAGCGCCCAGGCCCAGAGTTCAGGCCCCACGACCAGACCCCCCCCAAAAAAAGAGAAGGCAGTGAAAGGAATCAGTGCATTATGTAAGCGTTACATTTAGGTGTACAGATAGAACACCCCTCATCTGAAGAGCTGAGATCTGAAACACTGATGGTCTCTGTTATTCCAGGTAAGGAATGTTCAGCCTGCATTACTTAGAGCGAGGAGAGGGAGTAACAAACCTCTACCACATACATGCATACTACTCCTCAAGAAAAAAATCAGTATTTAGCACTGCCACAGATACCCTAGTAGAATCATGGGACTGCTAGTCTATATTGATGAAGTATGTTGGCAAACCGCACTTAAGAAATAGAATTCGGGCCGGGTGCCAGTGGCTCACGCCTGTAATCCTTGCTACTCAGGAGCCTGAGAGCTGAGGATCATGGTTCAAAGCCAGTCCGGGAGGAAAGTCCGTGAGACTCTTATCTCCAATAAACCACTAGAAAACCGGAAGTGGCGCTGTGGCTCAAGCGGTAGAACACTTGCCTTGAGCTGAAGAGCTGAGGGACAACGTTCAGGCCCAGAGTTCAAGCCCCACGACTGACAAAAAATAAAAGAATTGAGGCTGAGAAGGTAGCTCAGTGGCAGAGTGCTTGTCTTGCATGCATGAAGCACTGGGTTCGATTCCTCAGCACCACATACACAGAAAAGGCCAGAAGTGGTGCTGTGGCTCAAGTGGTAGAGCGCTAGCCTTGAGCTGAGGAGCTGAGAGGGACAGCGCCCAGGCCCAGAGTTCAAGCCCCACAACTGACCAAAAAAAAAAAAAAAGAATTGTACTCTGATGAGGACCGTCCCCCAGCCTCAGCCGCACGTGGTCTACAAGTGTCCAGTGTGAGGCGGCTGGTTGCAGTATAGAATTTTTCCCTCTGTATTTACAAATCTTTGTTAGTAAAAGTGGGGTATTTCCACAGTCTTACACCAAGAACCACACCAAAGAGAAACACTTAGAATGAACAAGAAACAAAACAACTATATTAAAAAGCACAGGAGCTCAGAAGTGTTACCTCCCGAGACAAGGGCGCTTTCTCCTGGGTGCTGGGTCCACACTTCCCTGGTCTCTATGTCTTCAGTCTGAATGTCTCTTTCAACATTATCTTCATTATACTGAACATATGCCTTAAAAACAGAGATACGATGCTAGCTTTAACATCAGAACCACTGGCACTACTAAAAAAAAAAAAATTACCTTTTCTGAAAGTTAACAAAGTGTAAAAGTTTCAAGCCTAGCACTCTTTTCACTTGTGTTCAAAGTAAGTATCTTTGCCAGATACAGTGGCTCACACCTATAATCCAAGCTACTCTGGATGAATGAGAAAGTGAATTGGGGAAAAATACAGCCAAAGTATTCAATGTATACATGCTAACATATATGTATACGTATGATAGCATGTGTGGGAAACAGTCAAAATATTCAATGCACACAGCATTTGTGGGAATCATCAACCAGAACACTTACTGCACACACGACAGCATATGCATAAACATGTAGTAGCAAATCCGTACATATGTGACAGCAAATGTGAGGACACCCAGTGTACACATGTGACAGCAAATGTGTGCATGCATGATGGCATGTATGGGGTCACTGACCAGAGTACTTAGTGCACACGTGTGAACATGTATGGTGACATGTGCAGGGTCACTGGTAAGAGTACTCTGTGCACACATGTGACAGCACATGTGTACATTTATGGTGGCATGTGGGGGTCACTGACCAGAGGACTCTGCACACGTGTGACAGCACGTGTACCTGCATGGTAGCATGTGGGGCTCCCTGACCAGAGTAACTGCACGCGTGTGACATCACATGTGTACATGCATGATGGTATGTGGTCACTGACCAGGATACTCAGTATACACATCTGTCAGGACATCTGTACACGTATGATGGCATGTGAAGGTCACTGACCAGGGTACTCAGTGTACATGTGTGCCCATACATGTGTACATGCATGGTGGCATGTGTGGATCACTGACCAGAGTACTCAGTGCATACATGTGGCAATCCATGAGTACATGTGTGATGGCAGGCGTGGGGTCACTGGCCAGAGTAGTCGGTGCACACGTGTGACGTCATGTGTGCATGTATGGTGGCATGTATGGGGTCACTGGCCAGAGTACTCAGTGCACATGTGTGACAGCATTCGTGTACATGTGATGTGTGGGAAAGAACCAGAACTCGGTTCACAAGTGTGATAACATGTGTGGGAAACAAGATGAGTCTGAGGGGAAAAGGCAGACAGGATGGGGAAGGGTGATCGGTCAAGGCAGGCCGGACACTTAGACAGACAGACACAAGAACTCATAAGCCCTTCAAGTTCTGAAAGTACATTAAATAGATAAGATAAATGAAAATAAAATCCTAGCTATCAGGAACCTGAAACCTGGAGGATTTAAATGCTAAAGTAGAGGTGTGGCTCAAGTGGTAAGGACTAGCCATGGCAAGCAAGCGGAGCAAGAGCACAAGACAGTCAAAGCCTACTACCAGCACAATCGCCAACCCATAAAATATTATGGCATAAATATAAAGATCCTATAGATTGCTGGATCTCAAACTTTTGATAAATTAGACCTAAGTTCAAAAGTGTTTCCAGAAAAACCACAGTAAATAATTTAGATTAATTTGAAAAGACTATATACAGCTGCATGTAAACTATACATGCTGTTTGTCAGAACATACAGCTTTGGAGAACCACAATTTTTGTATTTTTAGAAGGTACGTGCATTAAACAAGATGTGTTGTGCTCTTAAACTGACATGGTGAAGTGAACCCCTTTGTATAACTACTTAAGGATAATAAGGAGGAAGAGGAGGAGGAGGGGGAAGAGAAGGAGGGGGAAAGAGGAGGGGGAGGAGGAGGAGGAGGAGGAGGAGGAGGGGGAGGAGGAGACAGCGGCAGCGGCGGTAGCAGCAGCAACTATGTATACTCTGGAGGCTGAGATCTGAGGAACACAGTTTGAAGGCAGCTAAGACAGGCAAGTCTGTTGAGACTGTATCTCCAATTAACCAGCAAAAAGCCAGAAGTGGAGCTGGAGTTCAAATGGTAACACATTAGCTATGAGCAAATAAGCTAAGGGGCAGGACCTAGACCCTGAGTTCAAGCCTCAGTACAAGCAAGCACACACGCACACACACGCGCGCGCGCACACACACAAAGTATTACTTCAGCAAAGATAATTTTGTCACTAATTTTGTCACTATTAGCCTTAAGGTGAGGAAACTACCAAAGAAACTAATCTACTCAAGGTCAGAGCAAATGTGCTACAAAACTAGACACATCTTCAGCTTCACGTTGTGACCTTTCAGAAAGTATTGCTCATAGAGTATACCAAACAGACGATATGAATGCTGTCAACACACATTAGGAATATGTAAGAAAAATGGCAAGTACGATGTCAGACTTCACAGACCTTATATTGCAAAGCCAGACCACTTCCTAAGTAATTAAAACCTAAAATCACTACTGGAAAGAAGAAAATGTCGCATCATGGATTGCAGTAACTCTGGAAAAGAAAATAAAGTCCAGTGTAAGTTACCCTGGCAGGGTTTATGTAGAAAAGAGGCAGACAGAGAAAGAGGAGGAAGAGCCGGAGGAGCCGTGTAAGTTGACAGGAGAGCAGCCTGGCCTGTGGACAAGAGTGAAATGAAAGCTCTTGGAGATGCGTGGACCTTCAAGTGAGTCCAGTTAGAGAAAGCACAAGCACTGAGGTCACTGCACTGTCAATCTTTTCTGTCAACAACTATGGCTGTATATACTCACCAGGAACACAAGACCAAAACAAACTTGGCACTGTTTCACCTTAAATAAATCATTTGTGCATGTGACACTGTACTAACGGGTCCACGCCTCTGCTGTCTGCCCTCGGCTCTCACGGCTTCAGCACAACTGGGGAGTGTGTACTCACATCACCTCTCTAGCTAATGAATGCCATGTGGCGAAAGGCACCCTTTCTCCTTCAAACTGCACCTTCACTCCCCACCCCAAAATTCTAACATTCTCAACAGTACAAACGTGCACCTCATTTGCGCTCTGTCACTTAGCAAGCACATGTTGTACTAACCTGCTTGGTATTTTTTTTCCCAAAGTTTCTGATATACATATCATATTCATTTACTGGAGGCAAATCCAAGAGGGAGAAAGTGAATGAAAAATCTAAGTCGATAAGCCGAAGTAGTTTTGTACTTCTTGTCCTTTAAAATGAATTGGAAAGAAAGTTACACTGAATAATGTACACAGGAGGAACAGGGAATCTTAGCAATTGATGGAGGTAACTGGCAAGGACTTACCTTTCATTTCAGTGTGAACCTGCAGGATCTAGCTGTTTAGAATGACTAAGAAGCTGCTGTACAGTGACTATGTAAAGAACAGACCACACTGACTCGTGATGTGGTGTCTTTGCTCAATGCAGGGCACCCGAGACCAACACAACGTCCAGGGTGTTGGGCTGAAGACGTGATTCGGTGGCAGGACGCAAAGTGAGACTCAACTCTCGGAAGCACACAAGAAGGTGTGAAAATCCTTCCTCTTTTTTTTTTTTTTTTTGTTGGTGGTGGGTCTTGAACTCTGGGCCTGAGCACTGTCCCTCAGCTCTTCAGCTCAAGGCTAGCACTCTACCACTTGAGCCACAGAGCCACTTCTGGTTTTCTGTGGTTCACTGGAGCTAAGAGTCTCATGGACTTTCCTGCCAGGCTCCTGAGTAGCTAGGATTACAGGTGTGAGCCACTGGTGCCTGGCTAAGATCTTTCCTCTTTTGATTTCTCCACTGACTCATGGCTTATTAAAAAGAATGTTGAATTTTGTAACTTTGGGGGGTTTTCTAATTTTCTATTATTAGCTCAGTTTAATTCCTTATGGTCAGATGATGTATTCTATTGTTTTAATCCCAAGTTCACAGCACAGGCTCTTCTTGGGCTCTGAGGGACTGACAGGGGACGAGAAAGAAGCCTGTGGGCATGGCGTGTCTCCTGACCGGCCTCTGGCATCATCAACGGAACCTCACTCCCTTTGCTAGATGTTTGTCACAGTCACAAAGTCCGACACTGGAGAAGAGAGGGGGCTGCTGTGACTACCGGACGGTGTGCCTCACAAGACTTTGGGAACGGTGTGTGGGAGAGTTTGGAGAAGCCCTAAAACACACTGAGCAGAGCTCAACGGATGGTGCTGGGCTGCCCGGAATACCAGATGCGGGCAGGGCTGCGGAGTAACCTGTTCGGGAGGCTTCAGAAAGACTTCAGTTGGGGACTGGACTAGAGCCAGTCCACATTATATTGTCCCAGGCCCTGAGACTCTATGGAAGGCTGACTTTCAGCGCAGTAACGTCATGAAGCCAGCAGGGGGCTGCAAGGCAACCCGAGTCCGGCTATGGCGTGCCTACGGCTGGCTGCTCTTTACCAGTTGACAATAAGATTGTAAGCAAGAAGTAGAGCAGAAACATTCAAATTGGCAGTTTGCCCAGAAAGAAGCACATGTAAAGTTTGGATAAGGAAAGCATGGCTGAAAAGATTAGAGACATTAGAAGGAAACCTGAATCAATAGGAAAAATACCTCAAGGGTCCTCCCTTCCGCCAGACTCCATCAGTGGAGAGGGGGGCTAAGGTAGAAAGGGTTTCCTGCCTGCCTGCCTGCCTGCCTTCCCTTCCCTTCCTCCCTCCCTCCCTCCTTCCTTCCATCATTCCAATCTTCTTTTCCCTGCCTTCCTTCCTTCTTTCCCCTCCCTTTTTTTGCCAGTCCAGGCACTTGAATTCAGGGCCTCATCCTCTCAGCTTTTTTGCTCAAGGCTGGTGCAAAGAGTCTCATAGACTTTCCCACCTAGGCTAGCTTTGAACCATAATCCTGCTATTTCAGCCTCATGAGTTGCTAGGATTACAGACATGAGCCACCAGCACCTGACTTGAAATACTTTTCTTTAAGAAGGGAACACTGAGGTTCAAACAGGGACAGGGGTTATCTATAAAAGTGTTTCCCACATCCATCCGTTCGGGTGCCACAGCCCAGGTGGGCCAGGATATGGCTCAAGCTGGCAGACATTGGCATTATACATGCGAGGCAAGTTTTGCAGGCAAACTACACATACAAGAGTCACCAGGTCACTGGAAGCTAGTCTGCTCCCCTGGGGCTGTCCCTAGTGGGTAACTGTGAGGGTGGAGGCTAACGAGCAATGGAGCCCTAGGACATAGTGATGGAAGAGAGGCCAGGAACACAGAACGTCTGCAAGGGAAGCCACAGGCAGCGGAGGTGCCAGTCTAAGAGAACGGCCACGCAGGCTGCTGGAAAGCCCTAGGAAGCTGGTACTTTGCTACTGTAGGACTCAGACGGCAGAAGGTTCCTCATTCCCTACTGGGTTACACTCTTGCTTTGGTCTCATTCCTCTTTTCTATGCCTCTGACCCTCCCTTTTGGAATGGGATTGCTCACTATGAGCGGCTGCATGATGTAAATATGTAACTACAATTGAACAAGTGTTCAGAGATAAGGGTTTGTCTTGAGAAATAAGACTCTGAACTTGGACTTTTGCACAATATTGGAACTGTGAATACCTTACAAACTCTTGGAGATGGACTAAGTGCCTTTTTGTGGTGCAGTGGATATGGGGTTTTTGGTGTCACCAGTGGGATGCTGTGACTTAAGGAATGGTGTCAAGCTGCCTGGGTAGACTACAATGGATTATCGAGTACCTATCAGATCAGCAAAGCACACCTTGAAGTGTGTCCCTGAAGGCTTCTTCAGAGAGGATTAGCTACATGGGGAAGATTCATTCTGTGTGTGGGTGGCAAGCACCATCGACTGGGGGCCCAGATGCACTTAAAGCCCATTAGTGCAGAGGTTCAGTTTCCCGATCACCATGAGGGAGCTACTCTGCCCCCCACCTCCCTGTCATAATGACCTGAGACCTCTGAGACTATGAGCCAAAGACGTTCTTTCCTCACTTAAACTGTTCTGTATGCTACAGTAACACAGCAACACTAAGTCTCTCAACAGATGCTGATTCTGATCCTTTCTCTTCATCTGTGTGAGGGTCCTGGGACACACAAGCATGCATCCCAGTTATCTAGCATTAGTGCTCTTAGTCCCAGTCCTCAGTTCATTCTTCACCTGACAGGGAAGACATGGTGAGCAATACAAAATGAGCTAGAATCACACCCTTTAGCAGCTTTCTGACCCCCAGACTTGTAAATGTGTAACTGTAATCTAGTCTGAGCGCAAACTAGCCAGGATGCCCAAGGAGATATTAGATGGCAAGCACTAGTACTCAGAAGCTAGTACCTGCACTCTAAGTACAACATATGAACATACAAGAGAACTTTAATGCAAACAAAAATATATCTTGGGGCTGGGAAGGTGGCTCAGTGGTAGAGCGCTTGCCTTGCATGCATGAGGCCCTGGGTTTGATTCCCCAGCACCACATAAGCAGGAAAAAAAAGCCGGAAGTGGTGCTGTGGTTCAAGTGGTGGAGCACTAGCCTTGAGGTGAAGAGCTGAGGGACAGCGCCCAGGCCCAGAGTTCAGGCCCCACGACCAGACCCAAAAAAAAAAAAAAAAAAATTTATATATATATATATACATATATATATATACACACACACAATCACAGTGAAAATAAAATGCATGGCTCTATTTTGAAAAGCAGGTTGAAGAAAAGGATTACTGAAGAATTACTAGTCCTGAGGCTGATCCTTAGTAATACCCCACATATACACACAACCGTAACAACCAACTTTGGCAGAGTTCCCAATATACCTACTTTTGTTTAAGGGCCTGACTTCGGCTCTTTTGACGGTGTGAGGCTGTTGCAAAATCCACAAAAATTCCACAAACAGGAGTTCTGGAAGGGGAAATGTTTGCATCTGTACAGAAAAGAAAGCTGTTTTGTGACAATGAAATATTACTTCTAACCCAATAAAAACTCAAATCAAGATTAGAACAACTAGAAGCATACATAACACTCATACTCATGTCTTTTGTCCCCGACGATAAATAACAATAAACAGCCTTTGTATTTTAAAGTTCTGCTCTTGCTGACTTTATCTAAAACATCCAAACAACAAGGCAAGATTTACTGATCATCTTTTTTTTTTTTTTTTTGGGGGGGGGGGGGGGTCAGTCATGGGGCTTGAACTCTAGGCTTGGCTGCTGTCCCTCAGCTCTTCAGCTCAAGGTGAGTGCTCTACTGCTTGAGCCACAGCGCCACTTCCGGTTTTCTAGTGGTTTATTGGAGATAAGAGTCTCATGGACTTTCCTGCCCGAGCTGGCTTTGAACCGCGATCCTCAGATCTCAGCAGTGAGTAGCTAGGATTACAGATGTGAGCCACCAACACCTGGCCTGATCATCTTTTATATGTGCCAGTCACACCACTAAGAATCTTAGAAATACTTAAGGATAAAGGATGTGGTCTTCAGCCCACACCTCACTCAGCCTGAAAAACAAATTTTTTTACTGCTAAAAACACAAAGATTACATGGAAGTCACCCTTTAACTGTGGTTTCTCTGAGATTTCAGTACCTGCAGTCAATTAGTCTGAAGATATTAAGTGGAAACTTCCAAGAATAAATCAATCTTAGGTTTTAGACGTATGCTACTTTGAGAAGCCTGGTGGCTTCCCCTGTGCTTTCTGAGACAAAGCCCCTCTGTGCAGCACGCTCACCCCCACCCAGTCACTTCCTAACGGTCAGCTTCCAGACAACTGTCTTGGAATCGTAGTGCTGCCAAAGAGAAGCGTGAAGGGTTTCCCTCAAGTGCAATGGCGAATTTTCAACTTCAGGGAAATTTAAAAACCATATGTTGAGATTGCCATAATCTACGGCAAAACAAATCTTCTAACCACTACACTGAGAAGGAACATAAAATTCATGCTGCCTTTGCTGTTGCACCCCAAGCTGCCAGTTACCGGCGCCATGAATGAGGGGGCTGGCTAAGATGGACAGGCGCCGTGAATGAGGGGGCTAAGATGGACAGACGCCGTGAATGAGGGGGCTAAGATGGACAGATGCTGTGAATGAGGGGGCTAAGATGGACAGATGCTGTGAATGAGGGGGCTAAGATGGACAGATGCTGTGAATGAGGGGGCTAAGATGGACAGGCGCTGTGAATGAGGGGGCTAAGATGGACAGATGCTGTGAATGAGGGGGCTAAGATGGACAGGCGCTGTGAATGAGGGGGCTAAGATGGACAGATGCTGTGAATGAGGGGGGCTAAGATGGACAGATGCTGTGAATGAGGGGGCTAAGATGGACAGGCGCTGTGAATGAGGGGGGGCTAAGATGGACAGGCGCTGTGAATGAGGGGGGGCTAAGATGGACAGGCACCGTGAATGAGGGGGCTAAGATGGACAGGCGCTGTGAATGAGGACGAGGCTAGGACGCACAGGCACGGGCCTGGTAAGCAGAAGACATGAACAGCAAATGGCTTCAGTCATTTGCTGCACCACAAGACACTGAGCCGATGAAGACTTCAGCAAGGGGTTCCCTGACATGCGGGGTGAGGTGCCGCGCTACCAACTGCAGCCAGGGACTGTCACCCAGCTCAGGGGCAGGCCTGGGCTGAAAACGTAGACATTGCCAGGAGGCTCTGTCTGCGGGGAAGCAGCAGCTGCTGCCGCAGGTGAAGCCACTGACAAGGTTGGCTGAGGAGAAGAAGGATGCCCGATGGAAGCCACCTTCCCAACAGCACAGAGGCGGCTCCGCCGTGGGCCGTGGAAGGGCAGAGCACCTGGCAGCCCTCCACCACATGATAAACCCAGATGCAGCGCAGAGCTTAAGTCTCATTAATAACACACCATACACCTGACTGTCCTTCATCCGTTTACTGTGAAAATGAAAAGGTCGAGGTGGTGTTTATCTCGTGTTTACCATGCAGGACCTCACCGCTTCATGCCTTCACCAGGTACACCTGCCAGCAGTGGTCACATCCAATTGGCTGTTGACATGGAGGACAGAAGCTACTTTGTTTTTACAATGAGACGCCTGGGCCCTAAGTCTACACCACAGGGAGCTGGGGAATCACTCTGGCAGGAACCAGAAATGTCCATCAAAGCTTCAATGGATAAGTTACATCAGACACTGTGGGAGGGCTTATGGAGAGAAGTCAGCGATAGGTTGAAAATGCTTCCCGGGACCCACCGGGAGTCAGGAAATTAGCTAGCAGACAAACTGGTAGAGAGGGCGTGTCAACACTCAAGCAAGCAGAAGAAAACAGAGAAGGCTACTGACAAGCGTTGAGGAAGGAGAAACTGGAGCCATCTGCTGAGTCACCTACAGGGAAGAGGAAGATGAAGAAGAAATGTGGACATCCCCAAAATGTCTTGGCATTTCACACTGCACAGACATGAAAGAACAGAACTACAGAATGTGATCCTCACAAACAACACGTCGCTAAAATCACCCTGCAGCAACACTTCAACAATGAGCTAAAAAATAAGAGACCACAACTTCCAATTACAATCTTCTCCCAAAAGGTCTCTGAAAAATGTCTTTATGTGCAGCTCTAGGCGATGGCCACTGTGAGTCCTGACAGATGTATAAGTATATATAAGGATATAAGGATACGTAAGTATCAATGTCGGGAATGAATGCCAAACACTGGTTATTCTTAGATCCGCCAAGATGGGAACTCTAAGAATGGACTCTTGCCTCTCCTCAGCAAGTCAGAACAGGTGAGTGGCGTACTGCTGACCCTGCCCACAGCGGGGCACAGCGGGTAGGTCCAGCTCAGACCGCCAACACAGCCAAAACGAGGGCTCATCCAGGGCTGGTACCCATGGCCTCCAAGAAGTGCTCCTGGCTATATTTATCCACTCAACGGTTTACCTCGGAGGCAGGCGACAAAATATTAGTAATGATTACCCTTTCAGACTTCCATTTTTGAATTATACTACGCTAAATACTAATTATAATTAAATGGACTCATTACTGGCTACAAGATCGTTTAAAGTGGTCTACTATTCGTTAATACTTTAATAACTGTTCTATTTTACCTTTAGTGCTATTTTTAGGGCTAATTTTATCAAGTTTCCCAGCTTTCCTTTAAATGACTTAAAAACATTTATTCTGACTCTCACATGTAACTTATTATGCCTGGAGGCCAAGAATGTGGGGGAAGCACAAGCCTGGCAAAAGCTCCCCGGCCGCCCTGTGGGTGGCGTCTCTGAGCCCTGTGGTGCTGAGGGAGCCTCCTGCCCATGACTGCCTGCGCCTTTGTGGAAATGCAAGGAGACACCACCAGGAACGAGAGGGCTCATGTGCAGACTGTGCAGGGAGGGCAGCAGCGGGGCAGCAGGCCGGGCCCGCCTCTCACAGCCACCTCCGACCTCAGTGCTGGGCAGGATGCAGCTCGCAGCCCCTCCTTACAAAGTGACCCTTCCCAGGCATAACGCCCCCCACGCATGGCTTGCAGAAGGGAGCACCCAGGGCCTGCTGTCGCCACGCTGCACAGAGTCCTGTTACCTGCCCGCCTGGGTAGGCCCCAAGCCACTTCGCACACGGCCCCTGGGCTCTTGGACACCAGGGATCACCACCGTCTCACGTACCTGCCCGGGACTGCTTTTCGTACTCCATCCGACTTTGCTTTGGAAAACGTTTTGAAGACAGCTCGCCAATCCTTTCGTTTTCTGCATTGATGGCTTTCTGAATTTCTTGTATTTCTCTCTTCTGGGCTGGAGGAAGCTCCTCACTTTTTTCTTGTGAGTCAGGGTCATAGTTGCTCTCATCATCATCTCCATCACAAACTTCAAAGTCATCCTCATAATCCTACAAACAGTGATAAGGATTTGGGCACTCTTTAAGACAAACGTGTTCACACTCCAACAGAACAAAATATCACCCTGTACAATCTGAAATTGGCAAAGTCTCCTTATAGCCAAGGAAGTTCACTGATTTTGATGTTATACATTATAAATCTGTAAATATCACTGTATTTGTCTCTCTAAAAGTAAAACACAAAATACAGAGCCAGGTACACTAAGAGCTATTGATAATGTATGAACATCTGTGCTAAGAGTGAACGTGTGTATCTGCTTATGGTTAGATAAATATACATGCTTGGGTGCCAAGCACTTTTAAAAACAAGTTTAATTATAAAGTCATTTAACTACATCATCTTGGTCAGCTTTAATGGAAATAACTTCAACCAAACCTTATCCAATATTAAGTATAAAGAACAATAAAAAGAAAAATGGTTACCTAATTATATATATATGTATATATATATATATATATACACATATATAAAATAAGCTGACTTTTAAGAATTACTGTTAAACTGAGAAAAAACTTTTAGGCCAAGCACCAGTGGCTCACGCCTATAATCCTAGCTACTCAGGAGGCTGAGATCTGAGGATTGTGGTTCAAAGCCAGCCCAGGCAGAAAAGTCCGTGAGACTCTTATCTCCAATTAAACACAAGAAAACCGGAAATGGCACTGTGGCTCAAGTGGTAGAGTGCTCACCTTGAGCTTAAAAAGCTGAGGAACAGCACCCAGGCCCGGAGTTCAAGCCCCACAACTGACTAAAACAAACAAAAAAAATAACTTTTATACATACTTCAAAATCATCTTCAAAATTGGCTGAAATTTCATCAGGCCCAGCATTCTGTAAATCACTGGCTTCCTTTTCAATTTCCTGGGGGCATAAATTAAGCAGGAAACAAATTTAATTATAAACTTAAATATTTCAAGGTTAGAAACAAGTATATTTTCTGAGACTCATTTGATATTACTGATTTTATAATATATTTATAAAAGTAACATCCTTGTAACAATATACTAAAGCATTCCAAAATATTAGAAGGATAGTGAAAGTTTCAACATAAACCAGTAATAAATACTTGAGAATTTAACCTGATTTAAGCAGTATACCATGAATACATGCATCAAACGTACAGTATTCACATTAATATATACAAGCTTAATGCTTGGCCTGGCTGAAGTGGTAGAGCACTTGCCAGGCAAGCAAAATGCTCCGAGTTCAAATCTCAGTACTATCAATAAATAATTTTAAAAACAATTTTTTTTGTCAGTCCTGGGGCTTGAACTCAGGGCCTGGGCACTGTCCCTAAGCCTCTCTGTGCTGAAGGCTAGCACTCTACCACTTGTGCCACAGCACCACTTCTGGCCTTTTCTGCTTCTGTGGTACTCGGGAATTGAATCCAGGGTTTCATGCATGCTAGGCAAGCGCTCTACCATTAAGCCACATTCCCAGCCCAATAAATATTTTTTTAATTATCAAAAATAAAAAATTCAAGCCAGGTGCTGGTGACTCACACCTGTAATCCTAACTACTCAGGAGGCTGAGAACTGAGGATCATGTTTTGAAGCCAGACTGGACAAAACAGTCTGAAAGACTCTTATCTTCAACAAACTACTCAGGAAAAACTTAGAAGTGGAGCTGTGGCTCAAGGGGTAGAGCCCTAGCCTTGAACAAAAGTTCAGGGACAGAGCCAAGGCCCTGAGTCCAAGTCCTGCACACACAGAAAAGTTCAAAAGGGGAAGAGGAGGAGAAAAATAGAAGGATAAAATACCCTATTAGCTTACATATGTGATAGAAATGGTTATAAACAAATCTTTTGGGGAAAATCTCTAATGTACAAGTGAACTGCAATATGTCGTACCGGTGTATCACCGTGACCTTACTCCCCAAGCCATGGAGCATGTCACCTGTACTGTCAACAACAAACAGCAGCGCAAGTGACCGTCCAGGCTCTGCCTCCACTGCCACAGATTCCGCATGCAGGGCACACCTGAGTGGCCACAGCAGGGACAGGAGCAGACAGACAGACAGGCCCTGGTATGCACCCCGCCGTGACACGTGCTAGACACAGGAACAGACAGACAGACAGGTCCTGGTATGCATCCCGCCGTGACACGTGCTGGGCACAGGAGCAGACAGACAGACAGACAGGCCCTGGTATGCACCCCGCTGTGACACGTGCTGGGCACAGGAGCAGACAGACAGGCCCTGGTATGCACCCCACCGTGACACGTGCTGGACACAGGAGCAGACAGACAGACAGACAGGCCCTGGTGTGCACCTGCCGTGACACGTGCTGGGCACAGGAGCAGACAGACAGACAGACAGGCCCTGGTATGCACCCCGCCGTGACACGTGCTGGACACAGGAGCAGACAGACAGACAGACAGGCCCTGGTATGCACCCCGCCGTGACACGTGCTGGGCACAGGAACAGATAGACAGACAGGCCCTGGTGTGCACCCCACCATGACACGTGCTGCACCCTGCCGTGACATGTGCGCACACAGGAACAGAAAGACAGACAGGCCCTGGTGGGCACCCTGCCGTGACACGTGCTGGGCACAGGAGCAGACAGACAGACAGACAGGCCCTGATGTGCACCCCGCCGTGGCACGTGCTGGGCACAGGAGCAGACAGACAGGCCCTGGTATGCACCCCGCCGTGACATGTGCTGGACACAGGAGCAGACAGACAGACAGACAGGCCCTGGTGGGCACCCCGCCATGGCACGTGCTGGGCACAGGAGCAGACAGACAGACAGACAGGCCCTGGTGGGCACCCCGCCGTGGCATGTGCTGGGTACAGGAGCAGACAGACAGGCCCTGGTGGGCACCCCGCCGTGACACGTGCTGGGCACAGGAGCAGACAGACAGACAGACAGACAGGCCCTGGTGGGCACCCCGCCGTGACACGTGCTGGGCACAGGAGCAGACAGACAGGCCCTGGTGGGCACCCCGCCGTGGTATGTGCTGGGCACAGGAGCAGACAGACAGACAGACAGGCCCTGGTGGGCACCCCGCCGTGGCACGTGCTGGGCACAGGAGCAGACAGACAGACAGACAGGCCCTGGTGGGCACCCCGCCGTGGCACGTGCTGGGCACAGGAGCAGACAGACAGACAGACAGGCCCTGGTGGGCACCCCGCCGTGGCATGTGCTGGGTACAGGAGCAGACAGACAGACAGGCCCTGGTGGGCACCCCGCCATGGCACATGCTGAGCACCGAAGTGAAGCGCGAGTCCTCTCAAGTACTGCAGTGATGCTGGGTCAGGCCTGGTGGTGGCCCAGAGATCTCCTCCGGGGCCTCACGTGGTAAGTAGGGTTTGCTAGGAAAACCGAGTAGCCGCACTGCAGAACCCAGGCCAAGGGATGATTCTGAAACTACTTTGTCTAGCACGGGCACACACCTGTAACCCAGACGTTCAGGAGGCAGAAGAAAGAGGACCAGGGGTCCCAGGCCAGCCCAGGCCTGCACTGAAATACAAAAAAAAAAGGGCTAGAGGGCTAGCTCAGGGGGAGTACTTGCCTACTCGGCTCAAATCCAAGTACCACAAAAGAAATACAATTTCCTAAAGTTGCTATTCTCTTAGGTGCACTTGCTCTATCCACAGGCTGCTTGCTGGGACTCTCGCTCCACACACCCTATGATCACAAGCACCACTGGACCCTCTAGGCCTCCTTCCTGCCCATCCGACGTGCCAATCTCCCTAGGCCCGAGTTCCCTCCATCCTGCCACCCTCAGCCTGGCTCTCTGGTACCACACATGCCTCTTGATTCACATGGAGTTCAGAGGTACCTTTCTAGGAAAGCAACTCGGCCAAACCACATCCATGTTCAGAATCCAGATAGCTGCCCACCAGCTGCAGCCGACACTCGGAACAACTCCCTGGTCAGTCAGAGGAACTGCAGCTTCATCCTAGAGGTGGGGGAGCTGTGATGGAGCCACTGTACTGCCCTACGGCAAGAAAGACACGAGGAGCAGGGGGGGAAGGGCTGGAAACCACAGAGCTGGTAGAGAGGCCACCATGATGGCGACTGAGCCTTAAGGGAAAAAAGAAAAATCATCCCACGATGTGGAGCAGCTATATTTGTCATCTAAAGGTAGGCAGAGGAGAGAGAACAAACTCAGGGCAGATGGACACAGTGCGTGTCAAGATGGAAGGAAGATTCAGCGTAAGACGGAGCGCAGACTCAGAGCTCAGGAGCGAGACCAGCGAAGTACCCAGTTACACGACTTTCACCCCCAGCAAAATGCCATGCTATAAACAATGCCATAAAACTTACCCCTCGTGACACCCCTCTATTCCTGTAAGCTCTGAGTACTAGTAACGACACCTCACTGCCTCTACGCAGGTAGGTTATTCACTTTGTGTGTTTGAAAATACCTATAAACCCCTTGCTCAGCTAACTGGGAGAAAAAACAAAGAACCCAAATGAGGAGAAAAGACATCACTACAGATCCCGGGGATACCCCAAAGATATCTAAGGAGTACCAAGAGTAATTCTGTGCCCACAAATTTGATAACCTAACTTACACCTGGAAAGAGAGAAAAGAAACAATATGTATAGGAATTGACTCAACTGTTAAAAGCCTTCTGAAAACAAACAAAAACCAAACAACAACAACAAAAAAAAACCCAGCCCAGTTAGTGGGTGCTAGCAGGCCTTCACAACGGTGCCCTCTGCCAACTCTGCCCTCCTGGAGGAGGGGGTGGCGCAGGGCTCTGCAACTGTATCCCGGGACACAAGCAGAGGGACTTCAGTAAGGCCAACACCAGCCGAATGCCACAAGCCTAGACACCGTGAGAACGGAAAACCACAGACCGGCATGTCTTATAAATGTACATGCAACAGTCCTCAAGCCGTGCGCAGTGGCTCAGGCCTGTCATCCTAGCTACTCGGGAGGCGAAGATCTGAGGATCGCGGTTCAAAGCCAATGCAGGCAGGAAAGTCCCCATGAGACTTTTATCTCCAATAAGATACAGCACTCGCCTGGAGCAAAAGAGCTCAGGGACAGCACCCTGGAACTCAGGTTCAAACCCTACAATTGACCAAAAAAATAATTATCCAGGGGCTGGGAAGGTGGCTCAGTGGTAGAGTGCTTGCCTTGCATGCATGAGGCCCTGGGTTCGATTCCTCAGCACCACATAAGCAGAAAAAGCCCAAAGTGGCGCTGTGGCTCAAGTGGTAGAGCGCCCGAGCCCAGAGTTCAGGACCCACGACCGACAAAAAAATAAGTAATTATCTACATAGACCAGCTGGGATTTATACTAGACAAAGTTAGTTAAACACTCAAAACTCAATAGAATCTGCTAGGTATGGTGATGCATCTCTATGACTCAGTACTTGGGAAGTTGTGGCAGGAGCTTCCCATGTTCAAGGCCTGGCTGGCTTCACAAAAAGGCCCCATCTTAAAATATAATCATTCATTATATTATTGATTAATTAGAATCCATCAATCAACAAGTTAAAAATCACATGATCATATCAATGGGGGTAGGAAAACAACTATCAACATCTAAGCATACCTTTGTGATAAAACTCAGCAAGTCAACGGTAATTCTTTCTGTGTCAGTCAGTGCTGTGGCTTGATCTCAGGGCCTTATCCTCTTTCCAGCTTTTTTCACTCCTGTAGGACACTACTACTCAATCAAACCACGCCTGCTCGTCTGGCTTTGTACTGGCTCATTGGAGGTAAGTCTCCAGCCTGTTTGCCCAGGCTAGCTTCCAACCATAATCCTCACATCCCAGCCTTCTGAGGAGGCAGGATGACACCCATAAGCTACTGACATCCACAGCTCTTCAGTTGTTAATAAGAACACATTCATGAACACACTCCTTATAAGGAGCTGAGGTGGGTGAACAAAAACATG